ATTGCCCTACTATCTAATCAACGTAATTTTTTTTTATCAAGTTCGTAAGTATCCATTACAATTTCAATTTTGATCATTTGATGCATAATCTTCTATTGATATGTTTTGTGTTTCTTTGTCAATATCTGTCTAATCTTCCATTATCTAAAGAGTCTGTTTTTGAGTGAACACATAGTGGTTGCATAGTTACCTACTTGCATTGATCCAGAAGACCATTAATTTATATTAGAGTTCAACCAGTACTTGCTCTTGCTATTGGGTACACAACATCTAAGGTTGGTTGGTGTGGTTTTCAGCTATGCACAACACATGTTCGATGAAATTCCCAAAAAAACATTATGTACTGAGGAACTTATGATATTAGTATTTTCCCAATTTCTTCTTACGTTAATCGTATTGGATTTGCATAGTGTGAGATGGCAGGTGTTGTAGTAGATGTTGGAGATGGTGACACTCTTGTCGTACATGTTGTAGAAGGTTAAGTTATTGGGAGCATCATTAAGTCACTACCAGTTAGTTCCAGGAAAAGATGTTACTCTCTTTGTCCAACAACTCATGCATGTATACTATCAAGTCAGGTTGTGGTCATGGTGTGTTTTCACCATCACTCCCTTTGTCTTGGTGTTCGTGGAAACAGAATTGTCAAGTAGATAAAGTAATATTGTATGAATTTATATTATCTAATCCATTCATATGAATTGTTACTGACTTTTTAAATTTGACTTCTATTTTCTCAATTCTGTAATCCATTTATCTAGAAAGTGCTTTTAAGGAATGAACCTAACCAAAATTTCCAAAACGAAAAAGGAAAATGTTAAAATCATCATGTCTAAATGTTATCACTCTAATGAAATCTGGATTTTAAAGGGTTTTTACCTAGAATGACATTGTTTATATAATTAAAATATTATTTTATTCTGTTTCACCTGACCAAAATATTATTTTTATTCTGTTTTACTTGTTTGATTTGAGCAAAATAACAAAAAACAAGCACCTAACAACATATGATTGTATTTTCAAAGTACAATGTGTTAAGAATGGTGATTGATGGTAAGGTTTGTGAATTTTATATGTTTTTTCCTAACAACAAACATAGGATTGTATTTTCAAAGTACAATGTATTAAGAATGGTGATTGATGGTAAGGTTTGTGAATTTTATATGTTTTTTTCCTGAATTTTGAATGTTTAGAGAAAATAAGTAATGTTTCCTTTTTTACATTTCCTGATTTTTGAAGTTATTTTTTGTAAATCAATAATGTTTTTTTATTGCTTGTGAAGGGAAAGAAAGAATGAATTGCATCATGTTTCTTTATTTATTATTACTATGTTTTAATTGAGTTCTTATCTTTTACTAATGTTAGATTCATACTTTGTGTTACTGAGATGGTTGACGTTGATGTTGATTGTTTTTTTAGGTTTGAATTGATTTTCTGGTTTTAATATTTATAGATTTTGCTTGATTCATTGCATTTAGTGTAAGGATTTTTTTGGGATTAATGTAGTATATATTTATTCTGTAACTCAACTCTTATCGAAGGTATTTGACTATTTGTGATTCGCCGTACAAAGATTTTGCTATTTTTCAAAATTTGATATCTGAGTATTTAGATATTCAAAATTCACAAATTTTATTATTCACATCAAAGTAAAATACGTGATTATAAACCCATTTAATATGATAATATTATCCACTCTAAACATTTCAACCTACAATCCTACATAACCAAAGTTAGAAAATTAATCGTTGTTTGTCTATTTACTTTTCTCAATTTTTACAATTATATATATAATGATGCAATGTTATGATTTTATATGTAAGCTATACATAAAGAATGTTGCTTATATATATATATTCAAAATACATATATTAATTTTAAATAATAAATACAAACATTTTAAAAAAACTTAAATCTTATTAATAATATAAATATTTTACCCATAGTTCCTATGGATTGTAACCTATTGTGTGTATATATATATATATATATATATATATATATATATATATATATATATATATATATATATATATATATATATATATATATATATATATATATATATGACATGGGCTAATACAAGGAAAAATGTGAATGCATATGAATACGATGAAATTGGAGATAATGATATAGGAGGGTAACTACCTTTTATCCGTGTTCACATATTGGCAACTTCTTTTTTTTTTTGTACATAATAAAGCAACCAACTTGTTTTAACTGTTTAAATTACACCAATATTACCGGCTAATATTTGTTTTAACTGGTAACTCAAAGGGAAAATGACTTAGGAGGGTAACGACCTCTTATCCGTGTTCACATATTGACAACTTCTTATTTTTTGTACATAAGAAAGAAACTAACTTGTTTTAACTGTATAACATCCCAAAAATCATGACTAAAAATTTCGTTTTTAATTTAATACTAAAACCATAATTGTCAAACCATTAATTTAATACTCCAACATCGGGCCTCGCTCTACATCAGGCCCCGCCTGGCATCGAGCCCCGCTCGGTATACAAATATATCTCTCTTAGGCCCCGCCCACTAAACACATACAATCATCTAACATGCTAACACATAAAGAAACATACTCTACTGTATCCCTGTCCTAAGAAACATACTCTGCTAATAATGAGATATTGAACTTCGTCCGTACTCAGCTAGTCCCAGCCAGGGCTTCAGCAGTGCAAGGTGAGTCTCCTCACTGTGTGAATGGGTCTAAAGCCACAATGCCAACCCATGTAGTCTATGAGTAGGAAGACTCGGGGGTTAGCCATAGGCATTGTTTGCTAGTATGTTATTCCAGACCAAGGTCTGATGTCGGGCGGGTGCCTGAGGAATGTTTTCATGTTAGATTATACTTGTTGTATATGTGATACTTGTATGTGCCTGGTAAAGAGGTGAGTGTGGGCGAGCTCTCGTATCTTATCACTAGTTGAGTACGAACGATGTTTTGTATCTCATTATTACCAGAGTATGTTTCTTAGGACAGAGATACAATAGAGTATGTTTCTTTATGTGTTAGCATGTTATAGGATTGTATGTGTTTAGCGGGCGGGCCCCGGAGAGAGGCGGGGCCTAAGAGAGACATATCTGTATACCGAGCGGGGATCGATGCCAGACGGGGCCTGATGTCGAGCGGGTCCCGATGCCGGAGTATTAAATTAATGGTTTGACAATTATGGTTTTAGTATTAAATTAAAAAAGAAATTTTTTGGTCATGATTTTTGGGATGTTACACAGTTAAAACAAGTTAGTTGCTTTCTTATGTACAAAAAATAAAAAGTTGCCAATATGTTAACACAGATAAGAGGTAGTTACCCTCCTAAATCATTTTCCCTTTGAGTTACCGATTAAAACAGATATTAGCCGGTAATACTGGTGTAATTTAAACAGTTAAAACAAGTTAGTTGCTTTATTATGTACAAAAAAGAAGTTGCTAATATGTAAACACGGATAAAAGATAGTTACCATTTTAAGTCATTTTCCCGATGAAATTGTGAACAAAATTTGAAATTTTAGATGAAATCATTTTTCTAAATCAGCTAACATATATTTTCTATTTTATTCTATTTTAGGACGTGTTTGATATTGAACGTTTGAGAGTTTCCAGCGTTGATAAAACACTCTGTTTTGAACAAAAAATCTCGTTTGACGCTACAGACTTTTAGTGTTTAGTGTAAACAAAACTCTCAAAATCCAAAAGTTATCTCACTTAACCTTTAATAAAACGATATCATCTACCAGTTATCTAATAATCACTACTCACTATCAATTAGTTTTGTCGAACACACACTTAAACTATATTTTTTGTACACTATTCTTAAAGTATATTTTTTGTTTCAGGACTACAATTTTGTTATTTGATGTAATCTGTTTGCAATTTAATTTCTTCTTGATATTCCATCTTAATCTTCTTCCTGATGACTATCTTTTTGATTTTTTCATGTTTTCAATCACAACGAAAAAAAGAGAGGCTTGTTCTTCATGTTCATCATAGTGGAGTGGTTTTTTTGAATTTATTTGTTACTAGTTGTGAGACCCGTATATTATACGGGTTGATTAAAATAAAATATTAAGTACAAACGATTAAATAGAAAATTTATTTGAATTTGAATATGAAATAAGTGAAAATTATCAAAAAAAAAACATGCAAAAAATAAATTAATTAAAATTATATGTTTAGTGTGTACTAAACGAGTTAATTATAAAAAATGTTAAATATAAAGGTTTAAAGTGTAAATTTATTTGAAATTGAATTTGAAATTAATAATCATTATGGTAGGTTTGATTTATGGAAACTAAATTAATAATATATTGGAAATGAAAATTAAAGTAACGACAAATGGAAAATAAATATATTTCAAATTATGACAAAATGACATGTGGTTAAATGACATGTGACAAAATCATTTTCATTTATTATGGTAGATTATAGTAATAAATTTTAGAAAACAAATCAACTTTATATTTGTTTGGAATTTAAAATTTAAAGTGTATGATGTAAATGAAAAGAAAACAAACTTTATATATATATTTGTTTGAAATCAGAAATGATCCTATTTCGGAAAGAGTGGTCGTTTCGACAAATAACAAAATTGAGCTAAATACCTTATATGATTACATCCAAGAATAATAATACATGGTCATTTTACTTAGTCAAAGTCTTTTAAGGAAAATCGTTTTAAACCCCCTAGTTAATATTATTTTCTTGTGAAGCCATCATCATCATCTCATGGCTCATGACCTGTTCTCGGAAAGCTTCCTGCTGGGTTAACTTTTCACGCTAATTCGTTGACTCGAGCCTACCTCTTTTGGCTCTTCCAGCTTTTTATATGTCTTGAATGGCTTCTAACCAGATCTCAGAAAATTAATTACAAAAGAAATTAGAGAAGAGACTTGAATACTACTTCATTTCTTGCTATAATACCTCCCCTCCTGCATCACAACTCCTATTTACCAAAAGCTTTGTGTCACCTGTGAGCAATAATAATAAGAAGATGATTGGGGATGCCATGACTAACTTAGGGTCTGTAGCAGCTGGACTTATGTTCCTCTGGACAATATTCAGTGGATGGTTACCTACGCAGTTTCGTGATCATGTTGAACAATATGTTCATAGAGTTCGTGATTATGTGTATCCTTATATTGATATCACTTTTCATGAATACGAAGGAGATGAGATTGAGCGAAGCAAAGCATATGCAGCCATCGAGAGGTTCCTCAGCACCAACTCCTCCGATAGAGCAAACCGGCTCAGAGCAAAAGTGTTCAACGACAATGAATCCGTTGTCCTGAGCATGGACGAAAACGTCGTCGTAATAGATGATTTCCAAGACATCAAAATCTGGTGGACTTCGAAGAAAAACATCCTTCAACATCAGCCTTTGTATTCTAAACGTGTTGATGAAGAGAAGCGATACTACAAGCTCACATGTAGAAGAGAGCATCGTGATACCATCAAAAACGCTTATCTGCAACACGTGCTTCATGAAGGAAAGGCTATTGCTGTAAGAACAAGGCAACGTAAGCTCTATACCAATAACAAGAGTGAGAATATTGGGTATGGTAACAGGAGAAGTATGTGGAGCCACATCATATTCGAGCACCCTTCTACCTTTGATACTCTTGCTATGGACCCAGTAAAGAAGGAGGTTATTTTGGATGATCTTAGGACCTTCAGTGAGTCGAAAGACTACTATAAGAAGGTTGGTAAGTCATGGAAGCGAGGATATCTTCTTCATGGTCCACCGGGAACCGGAAAGTCTAGCATGATTGCTGCCATGGCTAACCTTCTGGAATACGACATCTATGATCTTGAATTATCCTCCGTGAAAGATAACACGGATTTAAGGAAGCTACTGATCGAAACATCAAGTAAGTCTATAATTGTAATAGAGGACATCGATTGTTCACTTGATCTCACCGGTCAGAGAAAGAAGAAAAATGAAGAGAATAAAGACGATGACGAGACGATTGATCCAATTCTCAAAAAGGCACAGGAGGAGAAAGAGAAGAATAAGGGAAGTGAAGTCACTTTGTCTGGGCTTCTGAACTTCGTTGATGGGCTATGGTCAGCTTGTGGTAGTGAGAGGTTGATCGTCTTCACAACAAACTTTTTAGACAAGCTTGACGTTGCTCTCACACGACGGGGAAGGATGGATATGCATATCGAGTTGTCGTATTGTTGTTTTGAAGCATTTAAGGTGCTTGCAAAGAACTATATGGATCTCGAATCACATGAGTTGTTTGGAATCATTAGTGGATTGCTGAAAGAGACGAACATAACTCCAGCCGATGTTGCTGAAGATTTGATACGAAAGTCAGCTAAACAAGACGTTGAGAGTTGCTTAAAAAACTTGATCAATTCTTTGAAGAAGGCAAAAGAAGAAGCACGGCTCAAAGCTGTGAAGGACGCAAGGATGAAAGATGAGGCAGGCCCATCAAGTTGCTGATAAGTTACACGTTACTGATCCATAAGAAAACGCTGTGATACGTACATAGGTATGAATTTGGCTTAAAGAACGTACCAAGATCTATTATAGTTTAATAAAATCATGTATGTGTACTGTTATGTTGTATTTTATATGAACAATTTTAATCAAATCGCTTACTTGGAAATTAATGGTTCACTATTACACTGATCAAGAAGATCACAAAATCTAGGTATGAATCAATCACTAAGATCAATCACAACGCCAAGGCTTTTATGTCGTCCAATTAGAGTAAATAGAACTTTGATTATCCACATCCCCGGTGGCCTCTGTTTGTTTTTATTTCTGCATTCTTCAGCATCGATCAATGTGGAATCAGTGCTTTTCTTGAAACCCTCAATTAGAGAATAACTACACAGGTAAATAAAGCCTCTAAAGACTAAATAAAGAAGAAATGCTAACAATACACTCGCTAATTAATCTCTCAAGTGAAGTAGAACTTGATCAAGTGTTGTAATTGTAATTGCCATTATCATCTTGTTATCTTATTTATGTGTACATCTACCGGTTCTCCTGTCACCCACCTTAACTTACTATGGTGCCTTTCATGGTTGTTCAACACAAACAACTTTGTTGTTAATCTAACTTCACCCATCATGGTTTCATTTGTCTTTGCCATGTCTTGTGTTAACTATAACACATGGATAGGGTGTGGAAAAAAACTAAAACCAAATAAATCATCTATAAGATCACAAATTATGATTAGACGAGTCAAATACTCTACACATTATCTGTCAGCGTCAACGTATACATATCACCATCAACGCCAACGTATAAAGTCTATCCGCATCAGTGTGAAGACATTTATTCTATGTAATCTTTTGTATATTAAGAAATGATACAGATAAGTATAGAATAGATAGCAAATCCGATTACCGTATGATAATGATTGGTTCTTAGTATAGATAAGATACAATACATTCAATCAAGAGATATACTTGTATAGATTAGTATATATTCAATATTAAGGTGAAACCCTAATGTGTGTCTTGTGAACGGCTTGGTGTCGTTAATCGTCATTGTAACCGTCTTTGTGACAAACTCATTTTCTTGGTAAAAACAAACTCTTTCTTGGTGAAAGACAATTTAGAGAATATCTTGTGTTCTTTACTTTCTGTTCTTTATTTATTTAGATTAGATTGTTTTTGTTCTTTCTACTTGAAGTGTATCAGATCGATACAAACTATTTATTGTCATTACACATAATTCGAATTATGAAAAGGGATGTCGTAATGATATAGCCAATTTGAGAATGCAATTATAATAAAAATTAATCATAATGATATTTATTCAAATCTTTAAAATCTACTAGCGAAAGTGTTTCCTCATGATTATTTTCATGAATGAGAGCGAAATCTTTTGTTACCTAGATTTTATGTTGTACTTGTTCCCATCCACGTTAATCCATCAACCTACAATCATAAGATAAAGTTTATGACAAAACTAAATTTAAATTTAGCTTTCATGGAATAAACTTTGTTTATTCTTAATTTATTGTCATTTGGTAGCACAAGGGCCTTCCAGCGCTTCTATGTTGTTTAAGCACCTTGCTCCCATTGACCAATGTACTATCACTGACCAACGTGCTCTATCTTTTGCAATCAAATGAGAACCATAGAACTCATAAGCATTGTCAACTCAACTGGAAGGTGTGCAGAAACAAGAATGTGTCAACTTTAACATGATATGTTATTAACCTCAAGTCGTGTGCTAGTGATAATAAAAATGTTTATTCTTGATTGGCTCCTGAAACTTTTCAAGATCAACAAGACTCCCACCAACTTCTTGACATATAAGTTTCTCTCTTAAGGAACATTCTTTGACAAGAAAAAACAAATATTCAAAAGTTAGTGTGGATTCCTAACAAGAAACACTTTATGAATTGGTCTTAGTTTATCCTTTATTTTAACCAAAACCTCACAACTTCCAATTCCTAATGTGTCAAAGTAAGAAAACATTATTACTCCACATTTCATGAGGTGTTATAAACCTAATTAGTACGAAACAAGCTTCAATATACGATTTTTAGTTACTTGAGTATGACCCTTAAAATTTTAATTTGACAACAAAGTGTAACTCATCCCTTGATTGAACTATTTCAACAATATTTGATTCTTCTACTTAGTTAAACAATTGACTAATATGTTCTTTGATGATCAATTGTGATATAGTTCCTTAATCAATAAGATAATCACGAAACACGATACTAAAGTACTCTCATTTCTTTTCAGATTTGAGAAATCTTTATCTTTCTGTCTAATAGATTCTTTGTATTTGTTCTGTTACTCTCTGAAACTTTTTCAAACTATCATAATTGTGTTTAATCTTATAAACACAATCATATTTACTAAAACATCAGTAAATCATGATGAATAGAGTTTTTCATCCTTTTGTGGTGGATCTGACTAGTCCATATCAACATGTACTAGATCCATTAGACATTCACTTTGACTTACATACACATGTGATCATTGAATTAGTCACAATCTTCCAATGATCAAGATTCGCATACATCACGCAATTCAAATTGCATGATTCCAAATTTCTATCCAATTGAAACTTGAGTGATGAGAATTCCTTCTCATTTGGTTCAGTATGACCTTACCACAAATGATATAATTAAGAATCAAATCCACTTTTAGTATCTCTAATAATAGAAATATAACCACCAATTTTCATAAATGTCATTGCAATGAAATATAAAATAAATCAAAATTCACTTTTATTGATAATAAGCAGATTTTTTTTTTCCTACAATGCAAATATATGAAAACTATGTTTCTAGATATTTTTTAAGCAATCTATTAAATTATCATAACCGCCAAGAGTAGCTTCCAAAATTTGATCATCAAACCATGCAGCCAAAGCCCATTTATCACGATTAGATTCAACTCACTCTTCCTAAGATTCCTTCTCTCTCTTAGATCCTGTAAACATCAAAATGTGATTATCATATCATGTATCAAGAATCTATGAATAAGAAGGAATCTCTAATATAATGGATGTACCTGAAGTGGAGTCATATGACTTGCCTTTACCATCTCTAAGATCTTTCATGTAGTTAGGACAACTTTGCAACCAATGCCCCTTCAATTGGCAATAAAAACATATGGACTCCTTGGGGCCAACACATGAAACTATCTTAGAACTAGCCTTCCTCTTTACCATATGGTCAAACGGTTTGACATTGTTCGATCATTTTCCATTGAGAAGAGAAACCTTTTCTGGACTACCACTGTTGCCATTGTCAATTTCGATGGAAAATTAGGACTCAGATCCTTCAAACACTTTTTCTTGACTTGTGTTCTTAAGCATTTCTGCTTCAACAACAACCAACATATGTGTTAGATAAATTAGGGTCACGTCGTGGTCCCTTATATAGTAGTCTTCAAGGAACTGACTATATGATTCAGGAAGCGAAAGTAGAATCAAGTGAATGGCCAACTCCCTTGGGAAAACGAAGCCTAACATCCCCAATCTGTCAATGTACGATTTCATTTTCATAACATGCGCACACACTGACTTTCCATCTTGATGTTTACATGTCAACATGGCTTGATTAGCTTCGTATTTTTCATCTTGAAGGAAACATGACTTGGGGAGAGTCACTAGAGGAGGTGGAGGAAGATTTGAAGAAGCATGATCTCAAGTTCCCCCATTGCTTGAAGAAGGGGGCATTCTTTCACCTTGATCAACATGTGGAAGATCATCTTTAGAGGGAGGAAAAACATTTCCAAAAGAATGAGGAAAACCATTGTTGTCTGAACTTGACATCTATAATATGAGATAAGAGAATTCAAGTTAGTTGAATTTTATTCTTAATTATTAACTCATAAATTTAAATTAAGACTAAGACCCATATTTTCAATTCGAACTTTGAAGAGGGATGCAGTAATCAAATTCAAATCTATTTTAGGTAGGTAAAGTATTTACCAATTTCAATCTTATGAAACTCCTAGATCTTTTGAGATTCATTGAACTATTCAATGGCATGTTTAATCTCGATTATGCTCTCAATTTACGACTGGGATTTTGAAAATCACAAATGAGATGTGAATAACCATGCAAATTAGTTTGGTACTCTCGATGTTATTTATCATCTAATCAATATGTCTATTAGCCACACGCGCTCCATTAATCAATGATAATTTACGAGACACCCATTGGCACCCTTTATTAGTCCATATTAGTGTGCTGATAGTTAATACTCCCACTGACTTCTTGACAAATAATTTTTTCTGTTAAGGAACATTCCTTGACAGGCAAAAACAAACATTCAAAATTTAGTGTGGTTTCTTATCAAGACAACACTTCATTTAATTGGTATTAGTTTATCTTTGTTTTAATCAAAACATCACAACTACCAATTTCAAATGTGCTCGATTAAGAAAACATTTCTACTCCACATTTCATGAGGTTTTATAAACCTACTTAGTTTGAACTATTATTAATCTTATAAGCACAACCATATTTACTAAACCATCAGTAAATCGTGATGCATAGACTTATGTCCTTTGTGGTGGATCTGACCAATCCACATTAATGTGAACTAGATCTTTTAGTCCTTCACTTTGATTCACATAGATATGTGATCAACAAACTAGTCTTAATTTTCTAAAGATCAAGATTCTCATACATCACATAATCAGATTGTATGACTCCAAGTTTCTATCCAACTGAAACTTTGGTGATGAGAATTACTTTTTCACTTGGTTAATTATGACATTACCACAAATGATATAACCAAGAATCAAATCCATATTTAATATTGCTAATAATAGAAATATCATCACAAATTTTCATAAATGTCATTGCAAGGAAGTATAAAGTAAAAAAAATTCACTTTATTGATAAAATGCAGAAAATTTTGTCTTTGCAATGCAAATATAAAAACTATGTTTCTACACATATCCTAAGCAATCTATTAATCTATCATAACTCCTAAGTAGTAGCTCAAAACT